TTAGGTAAACAATTAAGGAAGGAAATTATTAAATGAGAACATTGAAAAAGGAGAATTGGCATGTATATTAAACTAAGTAATTATTTTCTTCAGGTGTTAAACCTAAGATGAGGTTGGTTCGAGGAGATTTGCAAAGTGCTTAGGATAAGTGATAATTACATTCTAAATTTTATGTTCTTTCTCTTTTAAGTATGTTTATGTTGCAATTGTTAATTAAAGGGTTAATTGTTTTGTCTTTCATTTTACTATAATTATAATTATGTTACATTAATCTTTAAGATGTTTATGTTGCATTGTTACATTTCATGTTTAGATAGAAAACTCTTCATATGTACAACAGTTCATGTTGCATGGTTACATTTTATGTTTAGATAGAAAACTTTTTATATGTACAAAAGTTCATGTTACATTGTTACATTTCATATTTAAATAGAAAACTCTTCATATATACAAAAGTTCACTTTCTTGCTTAATCAAATTAATTTTAATGGATCAAATATATGTATGGTTGATATGTTAAAACATCTTATGTTATGATATCAAAATAATATGCAAGTTTGTGCATGTTGCTACGGAATACCAATACGGTGCACTTGCATGATACGATTCTTCGGGGTAAAATGATGATGAATGGCCAAATATGATATTGTATCTGATCAATACAATATAGGTACTCCAGTACGAATGTTTATATATATATATATATATGACATGATTTACGTACAACCGTAGAGGACCGGAGAACATGTTCCTAGTGTATTTTTCTTTAGTTGTTATAAAATTATTTTGTTGGTGGATGTTGACATGATAAACCTTTAGCCCCCATTGCGAGCTAAGAAGGTGGTGGTCATCCTATATGATCCTCGAGTTGCTCCCCTGAGGCCTCCTCTCTAGATGCTTTTGGTCATCCACCAATTGTGCTAGCTCCATGGCCTCTCCCAAGTCTCGAGGCCTCATCACCCTAACTGCTGCCCGGATCTCCGATTTAAACCCCTTCATAAAGTTTTCCTCTAGCACTGTATCTGAGAGCCAGTATAGTCTGCTGGCCAGATACTCGAACCTATAACGGTAATCTGCCACGGTCCCCCCAGTGTTAGGGCAAAGAATTACTCATAAAAATCTCATCTCTTACTGGTTCAGAAACGTTCTAGTAAACAATCTTTGAACTCCCTCCAGCTTCAAATGGGTTGCCTCATGTCTCACCATTGATACTATGCCATTGTCTTCCCTTCCAAATGCAGTACTGCCGCCATCAGCTCCTCTTCCTCTGTCAAGCCATTGACAACAAAGTAACGCTTTGAATTTTTATTCTGTCAGGTTACCTGATGTAGCTCTACGTCAGGTATCCTATAATTTGTCGCCATGTGCTCTTACTCTTTACCGTGCGGCCCGACAACCCGAATCGAACCGAATCCGGGATTAATATATTCACGTATTGCTCGGTATAGGCTCGGTATTGCTAGGTATTACTCGGTATTGCTTAGCAATAACGAGAAATACAGCTCTGTGAAAATCAATACCGAGCAGTACCGAGTAATACCTAAAAGAAGTCGGTATTGCTAGGTATTGCTCGATATTGTTCGGTATAGGCTCGGTATTGGTCTTCACATAATGATATTTTTCATTTTTGTCGAGCAAAATCGACCAATACCTAGCAATACAGAGCTACGCAAACTCCCGGGTCCGTTCCGGGTCGGGTCGTCGGGCCGCGCGGTAAAGAGTAAGAGCACGTGGCGACATATTATAGGCTACCTGACGTAGAGCTACATCAGGTAACCTGACGGAATAAAATTTCCCACATTGTAGATCCAGCCATGGCCATCCTCACTCTCAAAGATGGGTATCTTCAGCTTTCTCACCTTTGGGTCACCCCCGCTTCCCCTGAATCCTCCATAACCTCCCATTCCCCGAAGAGGAGGTGCTCCCCAGTTGTCACGATCTTCCCTCCGGCGATCATACCCAAACCCTTCTTCACATTCCCCTCTTCTTATTTCAAAATCAGCACCTCAACAGCAGAAATCATCCCTACCCTCCTTTTGTAGCCCATACTCATCCCCTCATAAGAAAGTTGTTCTATGGGAGGCATTCTGTCATCTCCCTCAAGGATCTCTACTTCCAGATTCTCCCTCCCCCTAAACGGGTTCGGATTTCCTCCTCCCATGGCCGCTGATGGTCTCCTTTGCTTCCGATGTCGCCGGATTTTGTTTGTCTTCAAGCATCTTCTTCATCATGTCTTCCCAGGCGGCGAACCTTCCATCCATCTTTTCATGGATGGATGCAAACTGCTTCTGAAAATCAGAGGTTTTCTCCTCAAAATCTGACTTTAGTTGTCTAAGTTCTCCCTCCAAGACTTCAACCTTCCTTCCGGCCATTGATAACCCTTAGATCGATCTGATATCAATTTGATAGAAAATAGCCACAGAACACAAGAAAAACTTAGAGAAATTCAGCAATAACGGTGCATTTTTCACAAAAATCTATAGGAAAATAGTGAGAAACACACTTGAAATTTAATAAGAGAAAAAAAAAACAACACGATAGATGAATCTTCAATTCGAAAGGAAGATTCAGCTTTACATATCTCTAGCTGAAGCCTAGAGCTCAAGAACAAACCTTAGATCTCAAATTCAGATTTTCAATTCAAGATGAAAACTCTAATCCTGCCAAAAGAAACTAATTAAAGCAAAGATGACAAATAAAAAATCCCTAAACATCCCATAATTCAAATATTTCCTCCCAAGGCAAAGTTTAATTGAGTTGTGGGACCCATCCCCCCAATCGGACCCTCTCTATCTCTTCCCCTTGGTTCCGCCCCCTCCAATAGCAAAGAACCGGTCCAAGTTGGACCGGTTCAATTGGCCCAAGGGCCGACCTACCATATAGGTGTTAAGCTAAGAGAGGAGACCTCTAAAGGCTTATTGGTTCCATTAAAATTGAAGTGAGTAATTATATTTCTATTTCATAGTAATTATACCTTTCTTCTAAACTCAATACAACAAATGATATTTCATTGATACCTGCTCATTCAATCCTTATTAAAAGATAAGATTTGTCTTGCTTGTATGGCAAAGCTGTAAGTCCCACTTTTGGGAGTACTCTAATATCTAAGTCAAGTCCTATAATTAGGCATAACAAAAGAGCCCTTACCCTTTGAGAAACTAAGAAATAAAACAATCAACCTTATATTTCAAATAAAAAATTAGGCTTCCTAATGATGAAGCTTTTTTTAATTAAAATCGGTCCTAATGAACTCAGGCCTTTTAATGAATGTAAACCTCAACCCAACCTATACCTGAACAAACATCTATGCAAACAAGAACATTACCAATTATAGCAAAAAAAAATCAACAAAAGTTCACATACATTCACCTCAATTAGCTTGGGAAATTTGAGAGGAGGAAACCAATAGTCAATAATCATATTCCATGCACATTAAGGCTTGTTATTCTCTAGCATTGGTAGACTAAGATTGAGAGTATTGTCAAGAAGACAGAACCATAAAAACTTGATCGGCTCTGCCTCCATCACCCCAACCATCTCACATCAATTCATTTAAACACAAATATTAAAGGCAAGCCTAAAATTAAGTCTAAGTAGCTATCCTTAATCGATAGTTCTCATGCATAGAAGTGTCAAAACTTAACTTAAATAAAGGTTAATCTGAATATTAGGAGAAATCTTGTTAAAAAAAACATAATCTACCCCATGGAAAATGAGCACTTGATTTTAAAGATAGATTGGTGTTTTTTCCGGAGCGTGGAAAAGTTAGTAGTGACTTGATTTGCTCACCTATTTATCTCACTAACCTATAGCTTGCAGATGTGCTTAACAAGGGAAAGCATGGAGTGATTCAAATAATTATATCCAAGCTATGAATGAAAAACATCCATTCAAGTTGGAACCCACATATTCATGCCAACAAAGGTAATAAAGATCCCATGAATTCAAGCCAAAAAAATTAGGATCCTAGTGACTCATGCGAAGGAAGGAAATCAGCATCCCATGAATTCATGTCAAGGAAAGAAATCAAGATCAATTGTTGGATTTAAAATATAATTATATATATTCAAAATATGAAAATTATTACGTGTGCCTCTATAGTTGTAGTAGATATATTTTCTTGTTTTTCTGTAGAATAATTTTCTTATATTCTTCTTGGATTAGTCTGAATATTATTTTTTATCAAATACTTTAAGATGAATGCAAGAATGTCCATTCAAATGTTTGTTTTCTTATATCTCCTTCCCATTTCAAATCCTTTCCACCTCAATTTTCAAATTTACTAGAAATAACCTGACAGAGCATCATGCTAGATGTTCTAAAAAATAAAATGACATCGTCATTGATAACTTAGATTACCATCTCTTTTTTCACGCCGTCAACAAACCTATCATTGTCAATGCAATTGCTTTTGTGATGGAGTTCAAATTTCAGAATCACTTCAGAACAGAATTAATGATCTGTATGCCTTATGGTTTTTTTTATAACTGGAAAATTTAGGAGTTCCATACAGAAACCAAGACTACTACGGTTTGATGGCGCTAAGAAGATGGATAATGATAAAAGAAAAAGAAAATCTGAAGAAAACAATCAACGATTTTATTTTGGAAAACTTAATTTTAAACGGTTAATCTAAACTGCACAAATCATTGGAAAATTACCAGTCTCAAAGTAGTGCACCATGTATAAAGCAAGAGAAAAGTCTCCCTACACATGCTCACGTACAGACATATTAGCTAGTCAATTTTTCATCAAATTGGTATGTAAATGATGAATGACTCTCAACAAACAGAAAATTTCACGACTGATGAAAAATGTGTGATTTATCTTAAAATGGCACTTATCTGTCACTCTGATAGCATATTCCAAGCAGTTGAATGTGAAAGAAATATTCACAGATAATTTCACCTTTCAATTGTTTTTGTAGTCGTATAAATAGGATGCAGACACATCGCAGTAATATTTCTCCAGGAATAAAAGAAGCATGAAAAATCAAATACCTGGATAGCAATAATCCATCAAAATTTTCAAGTTTATTAGACATATATTTTATGCACCACCGTCCGTCAACATTACAAACTTCCTAAGGAGAGACAAACACCAAAATTTATTCAGTAATACATGAAAATAAAGAAGAAAGCAAACCTCAAATGAAAAAAATATCATACCAAAGATGAAGATTCATTTCTATTGTTTCTTGCTAACTTGTCCATCAGTAGATATAACTAAAAAACAGAAAGATGAAATGAAGCAATGAATAGTTAGGAAAAACAATCAGATTCTAAGAGTTTCAACAAATATAAAACATAAATTGCAAGTCAACAATGTAAGCACGAATTGTAAACTTGTATCAGAAAAAGGACTTTGACATCCCACAAGTCTGTTACCTATGATAATATCTCTTCAATGTCAATGTTCAATTTGATGATTATTTGAAAGATAATCCTTAGACATTAATATATTAGAAGATGCACAATTTTGCTTTCAAGATAAAAAATAATCTGGTATTTTGGGAGCAATATATGAAACATTTTTTAGACTTAATACGAGTAAAACAGCAAGGAAAAATGAGTTGCATACTTCCATATTAATATATGACAGTATACAACTTCAACACAAACGTTACAAGAAGTACTCTTTAATGCAAAATTAAGTAGTGCAATCCCTGCAACACTAGACAGTCAGTTTGGAAACAATATGATAAAATATAGATTTGCAGAAAATACCTTCCTTTCAACCATAAGAACCTGATCCCGATACCTCTTCAACTCAGAACTCTGAAATGAAGATCAAAAAGTATTAAAGAAACTTAAAGGAGCAATGGACAAGCACATTCAAGATGCTAAGCTTAAGTTTATAAAAATTCAACAATGCAATAGATCGCATTGTAAAATCATGTCACTACTTAGAAAGAAAGAAAGGCACTAATGAACGCAAGCATTCTTTATGAATACTATGGGAGCCTTCTACAACATTTCTTTTTTAAAACTAAAGCATATGAACTTCAGTGTATCTAAGAGAAAATTCTTTATGGTACATACAAAGGATAAGAGCAGACAAAGTTTTCATAAAATTACCGCACTATCCTTGACATAACCATCTTCATCAATAATTTTCTTCACCGATGCAACCAATGAATGACAGATAGAAACATTCATCATCTGTAGATGTTTTAGAGGAAACTTATTAAGTGCAAATAAATAAAATGGAACGAATTTTTCGGTGACGTGGAATCAGAATTCACCACTTCTGCAAGAGGCATAAAGCGATTATACCAATCTGCATCCTCCTTCACTGCACCTTCAAAGGTAGATTGCAGGTTCTCTGCAAACTCAATAAGGCACGCAACAGCTTTTGCTTCTAATCCAGAAATTGAGAAACCTTTAGAGGCCTGACCAATGGCTGATTTGACCTTGGATAACAGCGATTAAATTAGTATTGAAGAATGAACACTACCTAATGCTATTCACAGTTCAGTTTAAATTCAGCCTTCATGGAGTTTAATTAGGAAATCGTAAAGAGAAATATGCATATGTTCTAATTTGCTTGATAAAATCAATTTCAATTTCTAATTAATTACCCCCAACCTAAAATTCAAAATCTAATTGTAAGCTAAAGAGTATTTCCTTCCTATTTAATTCCTCAAAACAAAGCACGACTAACTAATTTCTACCAGGATTAGGCAAAATGCATTTTGTTCATTGGTGTCATCTGGTTCCAAAGTTACTTTTTTCTTAGATTTTTGCAAATACAGCCGTCTTTAGGGAAAAAGGTGCATTTTTAACCTTTTTTTTTTAATAAGACTACAGTGAAATTAAACTTTTAAATATTAAGGCACATTACAATGTGATGATTAGAGTTTAATTATAAACTCCACAATTATGTATGATCATCATGGAGCAATTCTAAGAAATGTGACTTCATGGGAAACATTTTAGGACAAAGTGGGTAATAACTCGATGGATTAGAATTTAGACTATTACAAATGATATTGAACTACTTCAACAAATAGAATATTGGAGACAAAATGTTATAGGTGGGAACCACCTTTTGAATCTATAAGGGCTCCCTCTAGAGTCATATTTATTTGGTGGATGATTATGGACTATATGGAAGATAAATAATGAGAGTCTCTATTATTGAGGTGGAGGTTGTGATAACCCTTAGATATAGAGAAGTTGAATCCTTAAATAAAAAACATGCATGTTGATGTTATGGTTGAAGTTTTGTCAAATACTTCAAAAATTAAACTTGCTTGTGCTAAAGAACTACTGGGGAAAGTTAAACCAAGTGAACAACATTGCAGACTTACTAGCCTGCTTAAGTTAAAGCAAATATCCCAATGGATGAATGAAAATAAGATAAAATATTAAGCTTTAAGGCCCGTTGAAACTTTCTTATCATGCAAATAGGTTCTTATTAGTGACAAGATGATTAGGATAGTGGGTGGGGGTGGAGGTGGGGGTTGGATTTGGAGAATGCAAAAGAAGACAATTAAAAAGGCGATGATTGAAACAAGAGGGGAGATGAGTGATGCTTGACAAATGATAAGTTGAGATGACTGATGCTTGACAATGATAAGTTGTGTAATTATCACCATTCATATCCCATTCTTGTTTCCCTCGAACCAATAAGGTGCTTTGAATCTAATAGGAAACACTTGAAGATCTCAAGAATTTCCTATCAATCTTTAAAAAACAGTAAAAATTCTCCACAAGAATCCCCACAAAACTATGAAAACAATAGATAATTTGTATTATTTGATGAAATAGAAATTGAAAATACCAAGATACAATTGATCCTCTATTCGAGAGGAGGATCTCTCTCTCCCAAATCTTTAGACACCACTAGAGCCCAAAAGAGACCTAAGAGATCTCAAATTTCATCCAAATTTCATATGCTCTAACCCTAGGAAAACAAACTATTTAATGCATACAATTCAAAAGGAAATATCTAAACAGTCCCTACATTCAAATTTCCTTCCCGAATCCCTCAAAAATCTTTCCTAAACAGCTCCATCTGAGTGTTTGAATTGCGCGGCATCTGCAGTAGGCGAAGATTCTACCTCTGTTTTGCAAGCTAGTCCCGTATGAACCGATCCAGTGGACCAATCTAACAATACTCCCCTCCCAAAGTATCACCTTGTCCTCAAGGTGGAACGAAGGAAACTGATGTTAAAGCCCTTGATCAATAACACTGGACTGAAAAATGGACTGATATTGGGTTGAATGATCCCTACTTACAGCATCTCTCTAATCAATCTTTCGATCTCATCCTTATGGATTTGGGGATGATAATACGGATGAACACTGAGAGGTGAAACTACTTACTGCAAGATGATAGTATGATCGTGTTCCCGCGGAGGAGGCCACCCCTGAGGTGATTGAGAAGCCTCACTGAACTGCTGAATTAATAGTTGTACTGAAATGTCCCGGCCCTCTTCCAATTTGATCCCCTCCAGCCTATGTAGTTCCATCAGATAACCTTCCCCCACCTCCTATATGCTCCTCAACTTGGTTTTAAGTGATATCATGCCTTTCATGAGCCCTTCATCTCCCCTGATCACTACCCTTCTCCCTTCCACCATCAGCTCTATCGTTAATGCTCCCTAGTTGACCTTGGTGTCCCCCAAGGTCTGTAGCCACTTCATCCTCAGGATGACATTAGTGATCCCTAACTCCAATGGGAGAAAATCCTCCCTCACCTGAACCCCATGTATGATCAACACTACTTCCCTACATATCCCCTGACCGGTTTCCACCTTCCATGTACCCATCATCACTCCATAACATCCTGTATCCATCAATGTCACCCCAATTGGTCCATGACTTGGTTGGAGATAAAATTATGGGTAGCCCCACAATCAATCAACACCACCACCTCCCTGTCTGCTAGTTCTCCCTTCATCTTCATAGTATGATTCAGAGTGAATCCCATCACTGAATTCAGACCTCCATCACATCTAGATGCAGCTTGTCCTCCATCTCTCTTTCTCATACTCTCATCTCCCTCTTTGATTTCCTCATCATCACAGACAGTGAGAACCTGAAGAGTTCAATCCCTACACTTGTGCCAGGAAGTATACTTCTCATCACATCTAAAGCATAATCCCTTTACCCTCTTCTCCTGCATCTCCCTCTCCATCAGTCTTTTGACGTCCCCCCCCCCCCACTTCCTCCCCTCCTGTTGGATTCTCCCTGGGAGTTTCATTAATGCTTCCTGATGCAGACCCCTTGGGTGCTATAAGAGTGGTCGTGATCCTATAGAGCCTCCTAAAATGTTACTCCTAGCTCCCCTCTCTTGATTCCTTTGATTTTCCCAGTTGTGCCAACTCCATGGCCTCTCCCAAGTCACGAGGACTCGTGAACTTCACTGTCGCTCTGATCTCTAATTTGAGCCCCTTCATGAAGTTCTCCTCCAATGCTGTCTCTGTGAATTGCTTCACTCTACTAGAGCAGATGCTCAAACCGCTAACGATAGTCTGCCACTGATCCGTCCTACATCAGTGCAAAGTGCTGCTCATATAAGTCTCCTGTCATATCGACTTGGAAATGTTCTAATAAACAATCCTTGAATTCTCTCCAGCTCCGTAGAAGTCTCCTTTGGTCCCTCCACTAGTACCATGACAGCGCCTTCCCCTCCAAACATAAGTCTGTTGTTGTCAACTTCTCCTCTTCCATCAACCCATTGATGGAAAAATACATTTCCACCTTATAGATCCACCCATAAGCATCATCCCCTTCGAAAATGGACATCTTTAACTTTCTCATCTTCTGATCTCACCCGTTTCCCCTTATTCTTCCATAGTTTCCCATTTCTCAAGTGCTTGGCCCTCCCAAAGTCTCCTGATCTTCCCTTGCCCTTTCATACCTAAAACCTCCTTCGAATTTCCCTCTCCTTCCTTCAAAATCAACACTTCGGCGGCCATAATATCCCGCCCTGCGTTCCTATTCAGCACCCCTTTGCTCCCGCCCCCCATACTCATGCCTTTCCCCATACCTCCCTCCTCTATCCTCCCTTTCGAAAGACTCCATATGGGGTCTTGTCCTTTCTCCCCCTACGATCTCCACCTCATCTTCATCCTTATAAATTTCAGAATTCATATTCTTTCCTTCTAGGCCTCTCGCCTTTGAAGCCGCCGTTTGGTTGTGGAATTCTAACATCTTCTTCATTATATCCCTTAAGTCAGCCACTTGCCCTTCCAAGGAGGAAATTTTGTCACATCCATTGTGGTCTTAATTTGGTTCATCTCCCCTTCAAGTCGTTCCTCCAATTCATCTACCTTGTTAGCCGCATAAAATTTTTTTGGATATTGATTCAAAATTCTGCAAGAAATCGTCTTCCAAACGCAAAAACCACTACTGAAATTTAAGAAAACCAACCCACAATGGTCTCAAAATCTGCTATGATACCAATTTGATAGAAAACACTTGAAGATCTCAAGAATTTCCTATCAATCTTTGGAAAATAGCAAAAATTCTCCACAAGAATCCCCACAAAACCAAAAAAACAAAAGATAATTTGTATTATTTGATGAAATAGAAACGAAAAATACCAAGATACAACTATTCGAGAGGAGCATATATCTCTCCCAATGCCGCTAGAGCCCAAAAGAAACCTAAGAGATCTCAAATTTCAGCCAAATTCTAGATGCTCTAACTCTAGGAAAACAAACTATTTAATGCTTACAATTCAAAAGAAAATCTCTAAACAATCCCTAAATTCAAATTTCCCTCCCAAATCCCTCAAAAATATTTCCTAAACAGCTCCGTCTGGGCATTCGGATCGCGCGGCATCTGCAGGAGGCGGAGATTCCACCTCTGTTTCGCAAGCCGGCCCCATATAGACCGGCTAGACCGGTCTAACATAATCTTTGGACATTCTCTTGCATCCCTTCACAGTCATCCCCCTCCTATTTCCAATAGCAATCCCATCCAAATCATATTTTCAGCAATACATAATATAAACCTTAGCAAACACTACACAACAAATATATCATCTTGGATTTAACAATTTTATCACTACAAACAACTTGCCAATGTTGTTGATCTTTCCTTTGCCATGCACAACTCTGTTGTGTTATCATGGCATCATCAACTGAAACTTATTGTTTTCATTGCCTATCTGCTACCGCCAACAGTAATCCACTATCCAACCTCTTTAGTTGTCTCCACCTAGCCATCACTGGAATTAACAAATTATATTAAAAAGGAACCTAAGCCAACCACCAGACAAGAAACATGAAGGCAAATTTTGCCCAAAAAATAATATAATTTTATGAGAACAATTTCATCACAAAAAAAAAAAATCTTTGACGTATTTAACAGCGGTATCAAAAAAATATTATAAAATGACCAAAATGCAATTGCATTTGAACTAGATAGACTTAATTAAACAAACATAGAACTACGGAACAATATAATACCAATGCCCAAAATAAAAGAGACCAAGATGTAATTTTCCATAAAAGTTAATCCCTCACCACCCCGCCTCCCAGAAAGCGGATCAACAAAAGAGTTAAAACTAGATGTTCATCGTAGGATGCCACTTTTATTTGCATAATAGGGCTATCTAAGAATGCCTGTGCTGTAGATACATCTTGAGTTTGATGTTCATCACATAAGCTCAAAGCGCATATCCACAATAGTTTATGATATCTGTATCTTAAAATATGCACTTAAGCCTGCCAATTTCAAAATGACAGCAGAGAAGCACCGGCAAAATAGTCCTCTGGGAGTATCCAAATGGAAACAAGCAAACAAAAAAGAACGGCAACGTTTACTTTGGTTAGTGATAAGTAGGAATCAAAGCACCGAGCATCAGAGTTTATAAAAATTCATGAAATGGAAAGCATTTAACCTCTCATGCAGCCAAAATAATCAACAAATGAATACGCATATAATTAGAACCAGAGATTATTGTCGATATGGCATCAGTTATCAAGATAATACCAACACAACCACAATGAAAAAATAATAATAATAACGTTAAGCGGGCTTGCGAAACCCTCACCAATAAAACGTCAATACCAGCAAAATCCATCCCGCCAGAACAGTAATTAATGAACTCGATTGCTGCTGAAGTCTCCTCCAAGCGCATCTTGGTTTCCTCGTAGCTCAACTCCGCCACGGACCAAAGCTGCCCCTGAATTTCAGCAGCGCCAAGATTCAAGAAACCGAGAGTCGTGAGAGATGAAATGAAACATAGAAGCATGCGGAGATACCTTGACGGTTTCCCTGCCGAGCTGTGTTCCGGCGAAGGATGAGACCAAATCGCACACCGCATCCCATTCAAGCAGCTTTAGGCTGTCGGATATGGCAGCAGATTTCGAGTTCTGGGCCTTGTGGCCGTCGCCGGAGGCAGGCTTTAGCTGCTGAATAGCGGCGCGCGGTTTCAAAGGGGAGAAGTAAGGTTTCCTAAAGTTAGTGGCGAGAGGGTTTAACGCGAGAGTGACGATAACCTCAGATCGAAATACGGCCATGCGGATTTCCAAGTTCTCCTGAATTTCAGGCCTGAGCAGATAAAGAGGCTCTGTCGGGGCAAATTATTGGGTCAGTTGATCGAAGTCATCTTTTCGTTCGATCGCCAATAGAAATGCGACATCTGTAAGACGTTTTTTTAATTTAATATGTTTGCTTTATGTCTTGTCAGAGTTAGCGACCCGACCCGATAACGCATTTAATTTGAATTCCGAAAAATAAAGAATGGAAACGCAGCATATTTTATTTTCAAGCGACATTTTCACTGTTACTCCAGCTCTGGAAAGCGCTCTCAGATTCCTCCAATACCTTCGGTTCTGCATTAGCTTATTCCCGCCGGAGGTAGATGACGAGATTGTAGAAGATCATCAATCAGGAAGAGGTATGGTTACGCCTAACTTGCGCTTTACTTGCGCTTTCGTTGTGTTTAAGTTATATGTTAAATCTTAGGATTTGGTTTAGTTATAATTTTACCATTGTTTGTTTAATGTAATGTACTGTTCAAATGTTTATTTTCTGATTTTTCACGCTTCTTCTCTTCGTAAATGGATGAAGCAAATGATACGAAAGGTTTACGCTTTCTGATAAATTTTAGGGTTTAGTAATAGTTGTATAACTAGCATATATGTTCAATGTGGTGTTCAATTTTTATTTTTTTTTTCTAATTTAAACCTTCTTTTAACCTAAATAATTACGAAATGTATTGTTGCGCTAAGGTTGCGCTAAGGTTACGCTAAGGTTGCGCTATGGTTGCGCTTTAGTTTTGGTTGCGATATAGTTCTGATTTTTTTTTTTTTTTTGTTATAGATGAGGACGACGTATCAAAGGCCAGTAACATCTAGATGCTATGTTACTTCTTTTCGGAAATATTGTAATGCTTTTAACGAGATCATTGATGATGAAGTAGAGCAAACATTAAAGAATATGAACATTCATCAATTTTTGGAGTTCCCCGCATTCCAGCAGTGTATACCACTTCTTTTTTTGGTTCTCAAATTTTGGAGTCCTGCTGATAAAGGCTTCATCGTCCTTGGTAATCTACTGAAATTCACTTCTGACGAGGTTGCCTTGTTGATAGGTAATAATTTGAATATGGATTTTTTTTATAGGGATATGTTTTTTTAACTTTAACAACTGAAATTTTCTGACAGGTTTGCCTAACATAGGCATTGATATCAAATGGAGGATTGATCCTCTAAATGGACCTCTATCAAATGAAATTAAAATAGAAATGTCAAAATTAGAAAGATTATCTGATAATGCTACAAAAATAAAGACATTTATTATATTTTTATTATCTAACCTTTTCTTTCCTCTAAATAACAATAAAACCCCTAGAAGGCTCACATCTGTTGCAAATAATTTAAGTGAGTTCACTTCCATTAATTGAGCTTCATGCTTAAGGAACTTCATGGTCGGGGAGTTCAACACAATTTTTGAGAAGTTTCAAATGCAAAGACCATTGGGTTACATCAATGATTTTTTTCCTCTTATACTGGTAAGTTTCCACTCCTACTGGTTATTCTCCATGTATAATGCTTTTTAATGTTAACTTTTAATTTTTTATGTTTGGCATTATATAGATTTGGTTTTTGAAACATTTTTCTTTGAATAAACCATCCGATCCAGAAATCAGACCGCATTTTCTGAGATGGGAGGGGTATACAGAATTATACTTTACTCAAGAGAATGCAGCAAAATTATTTAAATTTTTAAAGAAAATTGAGGTAATTTTTTCGTGTACATGATGCATATTATGCTAAGGTTGCGCTTTAATAAATTAATACGTTTTCTGTTTTTGCAGATTTATGTTTGTCTTGAGAATGTTAGCAATGAAGAGGCCGAAAAATACGGTGCAGACATTAATGTCATACAAAACTTGGAAACCCGGACAGGGCATGAACCACAGAAATTGAAGTCACCCCAGAAAATTAAGTCATCCGCAAGGAAAAAACTTGATACCACCCCACCTCCCTCCCCACCTGATTCTCCTCATAAAGAACCACCAGAAA